AGGCTTTGGAGGTATCTTGGTCATCTGGGTGCAATTGTTATCGTGCTGTTGATCTTTTTTTCTGTTATGACACGAAGGCTCTGTTGGTTCAGTGACTCGCTTGTCAGGACGGGCTAACAAAAGAATCAAAAGCAGGAAGCATGTATACCAAATATTCATATGGATGTGTGATGAAGCAAGTCAACATTTTGAACAATAGGTTCTGTCTATGGTTGACGTCTTGTTCTAATGACGGCTTGATAGATTTTTCTTTCAAAACAGTTTCCTGGGTGATATTCTTATGAATTCTGTTATAAACACAACAAGAGACAAGTGTGCCTGTTCTCCATAGTGTATGAATATTTTCTAATGGCACAGTGTATGTGCCAGGCACCTGGTTAGCAGACAGGACCCATAAATAGGGACAGGGAACATATGTGCTTTTACATCAAATGCAATTAAACCAGGAATGTTTTAAGGGCATTTCCCCCCATGAACCAACCCATGACAAATAAATAAAACCTTTCCTATTCGCCGCAAAGCCACCGACTGAAATGCCTCACCGATTACGAGCTTCTGAAAGACACTGTGTGAATTGTGTCAAATGTTCCTTATTTTGTCACTTCCTACTGAACACATTATAGCTTCATCGTCGCTGAAAATGGAATGAATGTGGACAATAAAAGTCGTGACTCTTCAAAGCACATACGTCATTAAGCTTTATTCACATGCTTTAAGGCCTCAGACATTTTGTGATCCTTCAGTCAACAAAGAAGTTGTTTCTTAGGAATGCTTTGACTGCATAACTTTGATTAATCAAATCGTTTACTGGATTTGAATGTACTTTGCATTTGATGACTTTTTACTACAAGCACAGTAAGGCGTGTTCTGTCTTATTTACATCATGTGGTGGGGAAATAAAAGAAAGAGGACAGATAAGGTACAATGCAGAGAATAGAGTAGAGGATAATAAAAGGACTCTAAATCATGATGCAGCATATTTAAAGAGGAGAGAGGAAAGGACAGGAGGAGGCATTGGATAACAGGGTGATGTGGAAGGAGGTGAAAAATGTCTCCATTATAGGCCTAATAGAATTTCCCTTGGCCCCAGAGGGACACAGAATGGACTCTCCCTCCTTCCCACTTTGCCTCTCTATCCCCTCATCCCTCCATTTGCGCGGCCCGGAGATATAATTTCATCACTCTCCACTTAATTGTGTGCGTTGCTGGCAGAGCCTCATGCACTCTCTGTTCCAGCAAACAGAGGCAGGTGGGAGAAGAGGACGAAGAGCAGAATAATAGAACAGAGTGGGGAAACCACACCACTTCATTTTTATAGATGGACAGCTTGTAAAAGCGATGGGTTACGTGGTCCCCTCTGAGTAGCCAAGTGTAAACACTGAGATCCCCCTCACTGTTCTGAGTGTGTCATGCAGGAACAGTAGATGATGGACTTACAGTAACATACAGTTAACCAATAACACAATCCATGTAGACGTAATATAATTATTGCCTTTGTTTACATATGATTGATTTTCCTAGACAAGAAAAAAACAACACAAGAAGAGTATCTTTTACAGTATATTGATAAAGTGGGGTTAAGAAGATGTAAAAGTTGCTAAATTTGTTTCAGACAGAATTTGCATTCATCAAATCCCAAATCAGTAAGCTGACATTTTCTATCATATTTGTTTGTCCATTTGTCACATGTTATAAAGATGCTAAAAATTCTGCATAGGGATAGGGCAATAACCATTATACACCAATCTAAGTATGTCTTGGTAATTATTAATTATGATAACTGGTAATGAACACAATAGGGAGCTCCTCCATGGCCATGCATTGTTACGAAGAATGTAGTGGCATGTCAGGTGAAGCACATTTATCATTGCAGAAGGTTGGCGAACAAATGCTTTTTTAGCAGAGACAGAGTGGCAGTGTATTTATTATTCTTCAAAAGCATACCTGCATGCAAGGGTCAGTGAAGTTTTTTGTGTATGTTCATTCATAAATCTTCATTCGGTAAATGTTTTGATATTTTATAGTTTGACCCAGACAATCTAATGTGCCCAGCATTATGCCATTTCTGAATCACACTAATAGACACGGATATTTTATGTGGCTGCACATGCTATTGTTTGACCAGGAAAGAGTCTCAATAATTGGTGGCAGATATGCAGCAGATGCCAGTGTATCCTGACTTTTAGTTCTTGTAGGTCAAGCTCCAAAAATACCAGATATATCTCCAGTAATACAATTCCATAACTTCATAGAGTTTCTGTTAAAAATGTCAAACTTCCTCAAGCTCCAAAATCACAATCCTCAGTTCAAAAACTTGGCTTTGGTTTACTCTTAATATAAGTGTGTGAATGTTACTGTTGGGTTAAAAATAGAAATAAACTGTTTCTGAATTAATCATAAGAAAGATGTAATTTCAAACCTTCAAAGTGGTACTACTACCTTTAATGTATTGTATCCAAAACAGGATAAAAATTGGAATTGACCCTCAAATTCACGCCTGACAGAAAAGAAAGCTGCTCCAGCTCTATTACATTGTGAGACGCCGACCTTTGACTTCAGAGGAGATCAGTCACTTCTTCCCTACTGTCCCGCTCGTGAACACCATTTTGCTACTTTCAAAGGTTGCACCTTGTGTTTGATCTCCTGCTAAAGTCCTCCGTGTCCAAAGAGAACACGTGTTCCATCGTCTGGAATGATCTACAGACTGTCTTTATACAGTCAGTCATACATCATCATGAGCGTCTGCTGAGAACCTCAGAAAAATGCTCTTCACTTGGTCTTAAAGATGAAGATGCCTCTGACCTTTGACCTCATCTCATGATTGCCTTTTGAAGAACATTGTGTTAACTTGTATGGAATGAGGCACAGAAGGCATTGAGGTTAGAAGACTGGGATCAAGTATTTGACTGTACCATATAGGAAATAACTCCTGTTTTGCTACAAAAGTTTCTTCTCAAGGTACAACCTAAAAAATTTTTTGGATGGATGGAAGGATGAACCTTCAGAGATTATGTGTTGTGCTGTTATTTTTTGCGAGACCTGTGGAAAAGGTCTTTAAGTGGCAAAGGTTTCACAACCTCACATTTCTGGACAGTCCTGAGGGAGTCCTGTTTCCTCGTTCTCACTTCATCCCAGAGGTGATTTGTAGAGAAAATAACATTATTCAGAGACCACACTGAGACTGACTCATAAAACTGACCATAACAAGTTGTAAATTAGCCCTGTGAACTTTGCAGCATGAAAATCATCACATACCTATATTTATTTTATTTACAGCTTTCTGTAAAGTAGCAATACAAATAAAGTGTTTTTGTATATTGTTATCTTCTTTTTATGTCAATGTCTTTATTTTTTGTAATTTAGCGTACTGTGCTTTACTGTAAAATAGTCACATTTACATAATGTAAATCAGCATGATGAAGTGTTTCTCTTTAAACTAAGTGAACACAGAACCACTGATTATAAGTGTTGTGGCTGTAGAGACTAAGTGAAGACAACTTTTCTCCACTCAACATGAAGCTAAAACTCAACTGGTCAGCCAAGCTCAACGTGGCCTATCCTCTTTCACCACCACATGTCACTGCACATATGGTTCCCTTCACACATCAAACATTCCTCGCTAATGACTCACTGGAGGTTAGCAGCATTTAGCTTGGGAATGTGTTTTCCATTTGAACCATGGTTCACTAAGAAACTGATCCTGGGTACTGGGACTGGGTCAGAACCTGTTCTGATCAGAGTAAGCAGAAACAGGTCAGGGTGGAGTGAGCAAGAACGCAAGGGAAGGATTGTTGCTAACTTAAGTTCAATTGGACTGAGAGCACAGTGAAGCGGGGAGTTTGTCTTTCCTATTATGAAGACATGTTTGAGTTTGGGTGCATTGTTAGTGGCACACAGATATAATGTTTTACATTTGCGTGCATTTTTCTAAATTCATTTATATGGTGTGCCTGCATGATACTGTATGATAAAAATAATTAAAGCTTTATTACAGTAACCAATACAGTAATCTTTGTAGTTTGTGTTTTATCTGATACAGAATTTGAATCTTAAGTGATATAATTTAACGTGTCCTCCCTCAATTCCTGGTATAGGAAAGACCAGTATACTGTAGCTGTTGTCATGTTCGTCACAGTTCCCTCAGAAAGTAATCCAGCAAGTCACAGGTTGCTTCTTTAGCCGTTCTCTGCACATACAGTAGCAAACATCTAGCAAACAGCTACCTGCACAATATACAAATCGATAACTTCATGAAGTATTTTAATGCATACAGCTTTTCAATTTGTTGTATTTATTATTTATAACAGTTCTATATATGTTTCCTACCTCTTAAGACTGTTTTATGTCTTGCTCAATTTCCCCTCTGGTGGCCAGTAAAGTCTTACCTTGTCACATATATGAATGCCAACAGTAAAAATATTTACTATTTGACCATAGAATATACAAATTCGTCACAATATTTTCACATTTGTAACTCCACCATTGACTTGAGCCCACAGTGACATAAAAATATGAAACCAGTTAGAGCCAGAGTGCCAGCGTGTGTCATTTCATGCACCATTACCTTTCCATATCACTCACCAGAGGAAGTCTAATTGCTTTGACAGGCTGTTGATTTCTATTATTATAGTATTGTATTGCCGTTGCCACATTGACCACACACAATGCCATAACTCATGCAGTCAGTTTAGTGAAGCTAAAAAGGAACTAGTCAATCCTACTTTGCCCCCTTTTTAGAACCCCTTTCCTCTTCAATCCCTCTTTGGGGTGCAACTGTTGAGGCTTCCAGTAATCAGTCTGTCTCATTTGGCTTGGATTACATGTCAGAAGGACTTTAGTGGCTCTTGAGGAAAATGCACAGACCTTCTCCATCCTGAGGGCAAAATACATAAGAATCCAGGGCATACTGTATCCATGGAATAAGTAATTATGAAATAAATACTCCAATGAATAAATTCTGTAATACATAGGCCTATGAACCAATACATTCTAAATAATTTAAGAAATTAGTTTTATTGGTTATTTTTTATTTTATTACAACAATGTCTATTTTATAATGACATTTTATTCTAACACTTGTATTTGAACTTGAATACAATTCAAACTAAGCATGAAAATAACATTTCAGTTGAGTTTTAATAATTTAGCAAGACATGTTGTGTTAAGACTGAGCACATGTTCGTGAAGATGCAAGTGCATGCAATCTTATTTGTTTGTGTGTGCATTACTGGATCAACACAGGGTTTAAGTGGTTTTAAGAGCTTTATTATTGGTTACTGCTTGTCTGATGTAGGAATTTTGCAAATTCACATTAAGTATAGTACAGTATTAGTATACAAGGAATATTCAGTATTTCTCAGATCTGTACAATTAAATCCTGGTGCACTGTCAGTCTTACCATGAACTACATTACCAGGGCCTTTTAAAAAACCTTGCAGATAGGGGTTTGAGGGTGGATGGGGGATCCACCCTCAACCCCCTATCTGCAGTACTACTTTGTTACTCTCAAGTGCAATATCATGACATGTTCACCTTCAGTTGGGTTTACTGTACAGGCAATTCCATATCACTGTTAACTCAATTAAACCTCTCATATCTATCAAACTAAACAAATACTGTCCAAGGAAAACACTTCCATTTTCAGTCACAATTCACAACCCTGAAGATAGTGTTGACGAAGTTCTAGTACAATGAAAGAAGGGCTTTTTTAGTGAAGGTAATATGTGGTAGGCTAATATTGAAAACATCTGCAAAGTTTCCTCAACCCTCATATTTAGTATTGTGTAACTCTTCAAATAGTCTGTCTGTTTAATAAATATACGGCTACAGCCGGCAGACAGTTAGCGTAGCTTAACATAAAGACTGGAAACAGCTCGTTTCTCCTGTTTCCAGTCTTTATGCTAAGCTAAGTGGCTGCTGGCTGTAGTCATTATATTGAACATACACATATTAGAGTGTGTCTGCTAACTCTGCAAAACAAGCTAATAAGCATATTTCCAAAAATGTCAAACTGCAAAATGATTGACTCACTGTACAGGGCCCTCACACCGCAGTGTACTATAATGTTGTATAGTTGAGTTTGGTGGCAGCTGGTGTTTTTCCAAATGGACAATTACAGCCTTTCCAGATCTGATTAGCCTTAAAGGAATGTAAATTTGTGTTCCCTATTCATGTTCAGTCTTTATATTAATAGGCTACACCTGGTGGTGAATACTTTGTTAAAAGTTTCCTACCTCACAAAGGCACCTATCCCTTTGACCTTCGTACCCTTTTAAACTAGAACAGCATTGATATTGTAAAAACGTCCCGTTCACAAAGATATTGTACAGTAGAGCCGTCTAGGCTTTAACTAAAATAAAAACTAGAAAAAGTCAAATTACTTACAAGTTAAAAAACGACAACTAAAGAAAATATACTTACAAAAACAGCTAAAAACAACAAATGTACAACATCAGCGGACACCTGAAATAGTCCCCAGGCACTTGGGATGCAAAACAGACAAAATTACACATTCGAGTACTAGAATCTATAGGACAATAGGATAAACATAATACCATTTGCAGTTGTTATTGAGGAATAAAAATACAACAATCCTTAGACAGTGGAGTGAGAATACCTTCATTTAAAGTAACACTGCAGCATGATGCTTTTTATGCTAGTGGTTAGTAACAATGTACAATCTGTACCTCAAAGTAACAGATGAAGTTGGTGATTTAAGTTTAGCAAAGTAAACTATTTGCTCCTTCAAAAATGTTCCCCAAAAAAGAAAGCAAACAAAAAGGGGCTAGTGGTCCTCAGTTGGCAGCATAATAATATGGTGTGAATTTGACAAATTCAAACCAAATGGGTGCAGCACAACACAATGCATGCTTAAACAAGCTGATTAATGCAAACGCAGAATCCTGGGTTCCACCTTTACATTTAAGTAATCCAAAACTTTTCCGCTTTCCCTCGCTCCGATCATCCCACATCCTTTGACTTATGTCTCCACTGACTTGCCTTTTATCCAGAGGTCATTGTTGCAAACAATGAGGAAACAAGACACCCCTTTTCTTTATTCTCTGGCCCGTTTCCCCTTCTTATTCACCTGTTTAAAGGATTGCCAGTTGCAAGAGCCACTGCTTTGGATAAACACAGTGTCTATAGAGGGTGCAATAAGAAGTGTAATATTGATGCAGTAACACAATCATTCAAGATACCCTGAGAAAATAAGCAAAACATTATAGAAAACCCTGGATTTTTGTTTTGCATCCTGATTATTCTGTATGTGTTTTTCTTGGTATCTGTGCACTGGCTGACAATGAGTTGCTATGCATGCTGTTTACTGTTAAGGTAGCATTTCACCATCTAGAGCACACATTGCAAATTATATGGATTTTAGACATTCTTTTTAAAGACACAGAGGCTATTAATAATGACATTAAACAATATATGGTCCCCTCATGATAGTGTTCTATTCAGAATATGGCAGGATCTGAAGTTTTCTGTGTTTCTGTCTTCTACAATGAATACTTATGTAAATGTTTACATGATCTCTGTGTGTGTTTGTTTGAATAGTACATGCATTGTTACATACTGTAGGTGTGTGTGTATGTATGTATGTGTATGGTGTGTTCACTCGTCTGCCTATTTACATACTGTACATAGTTGAATTTCATGTCTGTCCCGTTTTCTGGGTCAGGATGAGTGAGTCTGTGTGGGAGCCCCTGTGTTATGCAGATAGGCCTGAGCACATAGAACAGTGTCTCGTGTTGCCTCGGTCAATGACCTGCCCCACAGACCAACTCGTTGGCGAAGTCAAGTTCTTATAGCACAGTTGAGATTCCATGTGCTGCAGCCCAATGTCTTGAATGTAATACACATTTAAAATAAGAGTAAATGGACTTTTGTTTGCTGCTAAAAAGAGAACGGGTTCGTTTGAAAAGCGTCCAAGCATCCTTCCTCAGGTTGTCATGTCTGCAAAGATCCAGATACTCTGTGGTATTTAGGCATCATTGGACAGCAGTGGCAGACACAAGTCATTTGACAACTTAAATTCAAATAGTCTAACATGGCATGTAAATAATGTCGCTTTTCAGGTATGCTCTTGAGACGTTTACTCCTCTTTGGTAGCATAGATTTGTAAAGTTTGTAAAATTTAAAGATACAACACTGGCTTATGAATGCTATAAGTATGGGACAAATTGACTATGAATGTTTAAGAATAAAGATGCAGAGGATCAAGTTTTGGGAATGAAAGAGCCAGATATCCACAATAAATTGAATTCAAAGCCCGCTGCTCCTCTATGATTAATAAAGTCGGAGAACGGTAAACTGGATGTCAAATAATGTGGAAAGGCAGGTGGATTTACAGGCTCAAAAGCGAAGTGATTATAGACAGTTTCCTTCCACATAGGCTTTGAATTGTGTGGGTTTTAAAATGTGAGCATGAATGATTACAAGCACAGCCTGATGGTTACATGAAGGGTTTTTGGCTTGATTAGGTCGTCGATATTCAGTTTTTGTCTAATTTCTGGCCTCTCCCTTTCTTCTCCCTTGATTAAACACTAAATGATTCTTCAGGACTTATGGTATTTGACTGCTGGCTTCATGCTGAAAGCGGTTCTGGCATGAATTATGTGGAGTGCGGGAGGCCATGGAAGAATATTAAGGTTAAGGTGGTTTGCTCACGGATGAGCCTCAATCACACTACAGAAGTGGCGTTGGGCTTCGTAGCACTCGGGCTTAGCACCAGACTCTGGGCGATGTCGTCACGGTTGATCTTGCGCAGCGCAGTGCACAGAGAGTCGATGCTGGCGCAGTCCTTGCTCGCCCAGTCAGACAGGAGCGCGCGGACAGGATGCTCTTCCTGCTGGAAGGTGGCGATCCGCTCCTCCTTGTATCCTAGGAGGCCCGCCAGGTTGCACCAGTCGCTGTCCTCCATGTGTTTGCAGTCTCCTTCGTTGCCACTGAACAGAAGCTTCTCCACTTTCTCTCTGGTTTGGAGAGGAAGGAGCAAACAAGGCTCTTCATCCATGGTGACAACTGCAGAGGAAAAAAGTTCATGTCATTTCATTTATTTGAATTTGTATTACTTTCATATATTTAGCTTGATGTAATGTTAAAAGAATGCTAAATCTAATTACATGTATCTTTTAACAAAACTTTGAATTATTTCATCAATTGAGCTTTTCAATTGGCTGCAATAACTTGTGAAAAGGAAGTGATGGAGTGATAAAAATAGCCTCTCTGGCTGACCAGGTCCATTAAAACATCATTGCAGACAATCTAAGGGAAAGATGCTTCTTTGTCCACACACCGTCTGACTGTCAACAGAAGTCAACGGAAGTGATAATTTAGGCCCCAAAAATGCCCCCACACATCTCAACTATTGCCCCTTTAAGATACTGTGCAAACCCAGAGAGGAGACTGCTAAAAGCTATTTTCTCCTACTTGCACCACTTTGTTTTCTTCCTTTAACATAATCTGGGCAAGCATGTGGTTTTAAAAGTCGTGAATTCTCTCAAACTGGTTTGTCAGGGCTGGACTGGAAACTGTCAGGAGCACATGCTGCCAAAAAAAAACAAACACTGTTGCTCTGCCAGCGTTGTAATCCTGGTTTGCTGATTTGCTACAGTAAGTTTAAAAAGTCTTCACTTTTGACTGGCGCGGGGGAACAATTTAAGGTGCAGTCTGTGTTTACATTCACAGTAACCCATCACACATTATTGTGGATTAGAAGAAACTCCATACCAGAGGAATTCAGCGCCAGACAAACATTGACTTTTGTGCTGAACGTGCTTATGCCCAATTTAAGTGCAATAGTTTGATTAATGATTAAAGGAAGCATTAAGGGAGTGGCTTCTGTTAAGGTACAAGTATTAGCGTGTTACCAGTCTGTGCCTGAGTCTGGCCCTGCTGCTCCTGCAGACTTTGGGTGTCCACAGAAATGCCACTGTCACTGTGCAGCTTCTCTCCTTCAGGTGACGGCGTCTGGTTCTGGTTGGCTGTGCAGTTATTGGCTCCTTGCTTGTTCTGCTTGCAGCTGTTCCACCTGAGTGAAAGTGAATCAACATTTGCACATCCATCAGATATGAAGCAACATTAGCATTTCATTTGAGCTGGGTTTTTGGCCACCTTATTAATGTAATTCCAAAAATCATGTTCACATTTTTGGTCTCCTCCAACTCCTGAGGGAAATATCTAGCTTTTTAGCTGCTGAATGCTCCATGATGTTCACCAGCTAGTCGCTAGCGTTGTCTACTTGTGGTTTGGTGCTGGTTAGGTAGTATATCATATTTCTTTTGCTGAAAACAGCTGCTGGCTGCTGCCAAAAACAACTCTAATTAGAGTGTTGAGAATGAATCAAAAGAGTATAGTTGCCCTCGTAAAACCCCAAAATGAGCTTAAGGAGCTGAATGAGAGCTGAGGGGAGGGTGATAATGCTCTGTGGGTTCATCATTATGTGTGTCCCCTTTAACATACAAGTAATCATATGATCTGTTGTAAATATAGAAACATTGATTATAGTTCTAACTAAAGGGTAATCTATGGAAAAGCCAGAAAGTCAGTTTCTGTGTTTGCCCACTTGTGCTCTGATCTGTCTTGAATGGCCTAAATGTATAGACTTGCAACACTGCCTTGCCATACAACATAGCTGGATAAACATATTGTACATTAAAAATGTAACAGTTAACGCTGGGCTGTCTGTGCAGGCATTATGAGGGAATCATGGGTCTCACATAGATGAGAAGAGGGTAAACAGACCATATTGTGACCCACAGGACAACAGTCAGTGTGCTCTCATCCAGAAAAGCAGCAGATGATTTCATTAAATATGAAGCTGCGAAAATTAAAATCTGATTGGATTTTGTTGTCCATATGTATTTGTAATGAGCATCAAATCTCTTTCTCTAACCATCAGATGTTGAATTTCAAAATATTTTTTATTAATATGATTATAATTTTTTGCTTTGATCAGCAGACAAAGATAGATAAATCTGATGGATAGCAAGATTATTAAGAATATGAGATCTGTCATGCTTGTTTGAGCAAAAAAAAAAAAAAGAGGTCAACTCAGAACTTCAATATTGTAATCCAGAAGTGGGTCGCCAGGCACCATGATGCACTATTTTTTAGTTGTGTGCTTTCAATTTTGTTTCGTACTTCACTTCTTCTCTGTCCTCACCTCTTGAAGATGATGAAGGCCACGAGGCCGACTACAACAGCTGCCAGGATGGAGCAGTAGATGGGGATGAGTTTGTCGTTCAGATGGTAGATCGGCTCCTTGGAATCACCTGTAGTGGTGGTGGTGGTGGTGGTGTCTCTAGGCCCCTCTGGTGGGGGGGTGTCTAGTGGGAAGTCGTCATAGGTGGGCGTGAAGTTTCCCCAAAAGGGCGTGGTAGACGTATCATCGTAAACTGTAGTAGCTTTGAGAATAAATCAAAATAGTCAAAGTTAGGCATGTAAAACCAAAAACAATAAGCTGAACGAGACTTCATCTCTAATCAAATCAAAGGACATTTATTTCTAAGAGTTTAAAATGGCAGCTCAGAGATCTTTCAGGTCAAATATTAGCAACCGAACAAACTGTAGACCCTGCAGATCAGGACATTGTCAGCTTGAAGATATGATTGGAAATTTAGTCGGATTATTCATTTTCAAGCTCTTCAAAATCGCTTTTTTCCCCCATCTAACCAACCTTAACCAGTGTAACCATAAATGTCTCTCATGCTGCAAACACAAACACGCACATTACATCCTACATCACTTGCTCCTACCAACGTCAATTCCCCTCCTCCCCAGGGAGCCATTGACGTTGGTAGGAGCAAGTATGTCCATCCAGTCCTGCCCACTCTCCTCCGACCATTAACGCTAAGCAGACATGTTCGCTCCTCACCGCGGATGTGGAAACCTATCCTCGCCTGTCACTTACTTACAGTTACTCACATCCTCTCAACAGTAAATCATCATGTTGGCTACCGAGGGCTCTACATACTTCAGGAGAGCTGCTGAATGTGAGGTGGCCATTGTTCAATAATGAGGTGAAAACATTTTTAATGAGAGCTTATTTAGATGGATGCATGGAGCAGCTGTGGTGCTTTTGTTGTTGTGATAAGTACTTTATGGTAACACCAATATAAAGAACATCCTGTGAACGTATTATGCTGGATGTCCATCACACTTAATCCTTGACCTCATTGATTATTTACTCATTGTTAATGTTTTTCACCAGAAATAATGCTAAAGATGATGTTGGTGTCATATTTCTCTGAAGCCTAACAGGACAGATGTTGCCCTGCAGGGTAATCCACTTCACTGTGCCAGCTTTATTTGATGTGTGACACTTGGCCAGTAAATTTGCTGTATTCATAAGTTTTGAGTGTATACACAACGGTCATAACTGCCCGTTTGTTGTGCTTGTTGGCATTAGTGCTTAGCCAGCTTTATATTTTGACCTCCAGGAGCTTTCAGCTCACTCAGCACAGCACGTCTTACTTACAAGTGGCTAGCTAAGGCCAGTGATGTCAGCATGGGTTGGGGTTGATTACAAGTTTAATAAAGCAAAAATATCTGTGTGTATATATATATATATATATATATATATATATATATATATATTGCAATACTAAATAACGAGTAATGGGAGTAACTTTTAATACCAATATGATGAGCTAACATCTGTAAATAAAGTGCCATAGAAACACTAAATACATGCAGACGGACTTCTGACTATGCACTGTTGCATATCAAATTCCTTTCCATCCTCTTTAATATCCCCCTATAGACAAACACAGATACATACATACTCGCCATAAACACACACACACACACACACACACACACACACACACACACACACACACACACACACACACACACTTGAAACCAGATACCCTTCATTGACTGAAATCTTCTTTGTCCAGCACAAAGTCCCCTCCCCATCTCTTCATCCTTCAATCGTCTCTCTATCCATTTTACCGCTGGCTACACTTTAGCTCGCTCCTACCAGGCATTTCCTTTTCTGTCAGTCAGTCTTATGGTCATTTGGACGTCCCTTTTTTCTCTCATTGCGTCTTCTTTACCTCCCCCTGAATGCTCTGCTGATGGTAAACACAACATCATTGTTGTCTAACCGTCCCTGGTTATATCTTTTATTCCTTTTGTTCATTAACCATTTATCTCATCCAGCCATCCTTCCTTTTATACATTACTTTGCTCTCCCTCCCGCTATGATTAACAGTTAAAACAGGGCCCTGAGTGCATTTACTGAACCACTCGCTCAACCTTTTACATTGAATGGTCTGGCCTCAGAGGGGAGTGACATTCTCCTGCTGAGCTCAGCTTGTTTCCACAATGCAGAGAGCTCAGTAGTTACTGGACCGCTGCTCTCAGTCGGAGATTTATCATGATGAGACATTTGAATGGTCAGCTCAGCAACAACTCCCTTATACTGTAACCTTTAAGTCACAAGCTACTTGTATAATCTTGTATTTAAGAGAAGAAAAATCTCCTCGTATCAGAAATTAAATAATTTATTAAAACCAAAATATATGTATGTATTCACTTTCCAAAGTGCACAGAAATATATCACTTTCAAGGGAGATATGCAGCTCAACAGTACAGATCATACTGATTTAACAAATTGAAAATAATTCAACACATTGTGCAGACATCTAAGCTTGTGAGGAAAAAAAATCCAAATTTGGTGATTTTTAAGGTTTTCAGATTAAATGCTCTTTTGTGGGTTTGGATAATTCTCTTAATAAACTTTACTGAATAATCTTCACAAAGCTTAAAACAAGGAATTTACATTCTGGAGCTACATGGTTTTCACTGGACAGCAACATGTCCAATAGAAAGATAAATTGCTCTATTTGCATCACTGTTCGTTTTCTATTTTCCTCTACAGTTAAATCTATAATACCATAATTAATGTCATGAATGCTCATGTTAAATCTCAGGTCTATGTGCCTTATCAAGATGACCATAACATGTTCTATAATAAGTCCTGAAATGCTCTTCTACACTCTAACCTGGATCCACAACACCCAAATAAGGCCCATACTTAAACCTCACAGTGCTTTAAAATATGACCTCTTCAAATTCTAGGAGTGCAAACTTGGAGGATCTGTGTAACTGGTCAAAATGTGGCAGTAGCTTGTCATTAAGATCATACAAATTGAGAGATGCGGAGCGGTCAAAATGACAGGTTCACCCAACTGTAACCCCTGTCAACAAACCGTTTATTGTGATTATCGTCGAAATAAGTGGAATTTTCTTCCCGGCTTTGTCTGTTAATGATTAACGGGTGACTGGATATCCGGGCACATGTACTTGCCAGCATTAGATGTGTAATTATATAGAAACAACTCGTTGCTCTCACATATGCCTACAGTGGGTGTGTGTGTGTAATTTGTGAATGTGTTATGTGTATGTGTGGGGTGTTCTGTAGCAGCCACGCCTGAGTTTTAACTCGTCATTCCAACCTCTTGCAACCAGGTGTTGCTGCTGTTTCGACACTGTATACTTTATAGCTGACTTTGGTGTTAAACAGAAAGGAAAAGGAGGGGCTTCCCACACAAGCAAGTTGTTTTTTTATTACATGTCATTAGACTTGAGCTCAGTCACGACTGCTGCCAGGACCTGTCCAACAAAACGCCTTCACCAATGACGGACATTTAAAGTATTTATGTTATTACAACAAGCGCAAGTGAAGGGATAAATGAAGAATGTTGTTGCCCTTTTTTGTTGATCTGCATTCACTACTTGTGATTTCTTTTAATCCACCAATTGTCTCTTTTCTCCTTGGAGGCCTCTGGCTTGGTTCATACCTTAGATGACCCATCTCATCCTTCTGCCCACGTGCTCTAGATTGAACACACCTCTGAATGCGTATGTTTGTGAATTTATACGGGGTGCACATGTGTGCGCGCCTGTGCTTTTGTGTGTGTGTGTGTGTGTGTGTGTTTGTGTGTGTGCCTGTTCTGCGGCAGAATGTGATCAGCACTCGTAGAGGTCAACCAGAGAAACCGGAGAGTGCAGAGGAGTAACTCCATCGCTTTTATCGATCAGGCCTCATGCTCAGCATCTGTTCGCTCTCTCTCCGCTCTTTCAAGCTCTCTGCATCTCTTTCATTTCTGCAGCTCTCTATTCTCCTTCCTGTGTGCTGCTCTCATTGTCATTTATTTAGTGTTGTACAGTTTACCTATGGATTTGCTTCACATGGCTTATCTTTTTGTTTCAATACTTGGTGCAACTTTCTAACAACTAATGTCTTTATTGATGGTTAATAAACCAATTATAAGTTGCCACTTGCCTTGTGAAAATTTGTGTTTGACTGTTTCCTTGTGCCCTCGATTTGGTAATAATGCAGTTGACTGCATGTATTAAGAATATGATTGATTGATTTATTTATTTGTATTTAATCATGATTAAGCAGAAAATTTAGAAAAGGGCATATCTGTATGATGTGTCTACTCATGAATTGAAGAAAACAACAAAACTAGCTTTCACTGTGACAGAAATAATGCTTCAAATGAGCCAACAACACAAAATTCCTTCTTTATGCCACATTGCAGTGATTCAGCTCCAGAACGATATGGTAGATAAAAACTTGATTATCACTGAGATAAAGCAAATTCCACATACTGTAAATCCTCACGAGGACAAAAGCTTGACTCCCCAAGCAAAACTTTTGGCAAAGAATGAACGGCACGAGCGAAAGCGCAAAGGTTGTGGTCACCCTTGGACCAGATTGGCCCACTCATGTCAAATCACCTCATATTTATCCATATCTGGAATGTCGAGGGGCAAATTCCTCGGATGACAGGCGACTTCAGGAGACTGAGTCATCGCCACAAGGGGTTGATTCTTGTTTGGCAGCGGAGAAAGAGACACAGTCGACTTTAAATCTTCATTCATCGTTACAATGCTCGTATTGTGTCTCGCAGGGAGCAGAAGGGTTGAAGCGGGAAGGTCAGCTGTGGCCATAGAGCCCAAGTCAGACGAGATATAAGTCAGTAGATGTGTGGAGACCAAGCTGTAGCCACACAATGAATGACTGTGCAATACAAAGAATGTCAATTGTTTAGTCAGACTGGTTGGTTCATTCATCACAGTTATTGATGTGTTAATGCTTTTGACGTAGGAAATCAGAAATGTCGATGGCATTTTTCCCTTTATCATTTTTTCCCATTTGTCTTCCTCTCTTTATCTGTCTGTCAGATGCTTGCTGAAATTGACCATTCACTAAGCCCCTCCCACAGGCAGCAATTGTCCAATCATAGCTTAGCAAACATAACTAGGCATTGGAAATATCCACATGTTTAAGTGGAGGATATGGGTTCAAGAAAGTTCAGAAGGTGGTGTCTTTCTTCTTAGTCTTTGCAAAACCACAAATACAAGAGCAAAAGTTTAAGAAATGGAT